ATAGTGATTGTGCATGAACTCGTGGCAGTTGTGGTAGGGGACTTAAGGTTGTATGAAATTGATGTTTGGCATAGCTCGTTGATAAACTGAGTTAGATTCTTCTATTGGAATGTAAACTCCTATACCCAGCAACAGCCAATGAATATAATACTTCTTCTACTATCTGTCATATTCTCCCTTTCAATTAGTTAACCCCATTATTGCAATACCCTCTACGCAGTACTAAACAGTAAACAAGTCTCAACTCTCAACTCTCATACACAGTACTAATCCAGGGACTTTTGTATTACCATTGTTCTTTAAAAACACAAGATCAATTCGGGCAGTTCAGAAACAATTTTCAAAAATCCAGCAAACAGCAGGGGATCAATGAAAATCATACGACAGTTTAAATACCTTAACATCTCTTCGAAGACATTATACAAGTGCAACCATAATGAAACAGATCGATGACATCTAGCAATCAACAGTCCTATAAGAAGAAACCACATCTCCATACCAACAGCAAGCCAAAAAACAAACTCTCCTAACACTCAAATTGCATATTGTAGCAGCAAATTCCATCCAACAGTATTAAAAAAATCATGGGAGAGCTGATCTCCCTCAAGATAGAATGCATTTCCCTCACGAACTCAACCTCATGATGCTGCAACGGCTTCTGCAATAAATAAATTTCAGGAAAATGAATCATAAATCCAAGGTTTATCAAATCTTATAGAATTTCATATATAAGATAGTTGTAGCATACCCCTCTCAGGTCCGATTCTCAAATGACATATTTTCCTTATCCCGAGCCAGCCTTGCCCTTTCATCCATTGCAAACAATAACCCAGACATAGAACAACCAACTTCAATAGATGGCGACATTCCCATATTTGGACCTTCTCTTGCAGAATCATCATGATTTATAGTAGTGCTCGAGCCCCCAACATCACTTTCTGTTGGTCTCTGAGGAAAGTTCCTATAATCATGTCCTGAATTCTTGCAGTACTTACAATGTCTTGCCTTTCTGCTGGTTGGATTCGGGTTAGAAGAACCTTTAGTTTTCACAACTCGAGGATCCTTGACTATAACTCTACTTGTACTAGCTTGTTCAGATGTGTCCTTAGCATGTGCACAACCACTCTTAGTTGTGTCCTTCATTTTCTGCCAAATCTGCTCAGCTGAAATGATCAACTTCTCCACATCATTCTTCACCATTTGATATCCTTCATTTTTCTGTGAAGCATAATGACAAAGTTTCCCACAAAAACCACTCAAGGTTCCGCACCTAATCACAGTATTAACTTCAGGATTGTCCAGCTTTACATTCACATCTTTTTTGCATCCTTACACCACCGTTTCAGTACCAAATCACGTGGTAACAGACTAATATTGTTGACTTACATAACAAAGGAACAATGACAACAAGGTATGCCTTTAGTCTCAAACAACTGACAAGAACACCTGATATCTCCAACTGCAGGATAATAAGTGACTCTCCAATTTGAGTTAGGATCATAATATTGAGACAGGGCATAAGAAACTCTTCCACTTTCTGTCACAGCGGATGTACTATATAGAAGTGGCTCTCTTTTCATTTGCTTTCGAACCTTGAAAAACATATCTCGAGTAAAGAGCTCAGCAGCATGTTTCTCAAGACTCAATAAATGACCATCACAAACCGGAGTTGTGTCATTACTTACATGATCATTGTGCAGCTCCTCGTACCTCAGTCGTCGTAGACCTCTGTGAAACTGTTCAACAAATTCAAATAGCTTTAGGCGACTTGTCAGAAATCTCTTCAACACTGAATGCATAGCTTCACACCGCTGTGTACTCTTCATTCCACATGTGAACTTCCCAACAAAGAATGCATGTGCCCATCGACTACGTATCATGTACATCTTGGACACCCACTCATTACAATGCAGATTAAGCTTCTCAACAGTGCTTCTCCACAACTCTTCGAAAATCTCAACTTCTTTGATTTTGTTAGCACATCTATCAAATACATTCTTGAATTCCTCTCCCTGAACATTCGAACTCACATTCCTACTCAAGTGCCAACTACATAACCTATGATGAACCTCTGGCATCACAGCTTTGATGGCTTTTCTCATCGATTTATCTCCATCAGTTAGAACAAGTTTTGGCTTTTTTTCCTTTCATTGCCTCTAGAAACATGTCCAATAGCCATTTGTAACTGAAAAAATATTCATCTTTTAACAAAGCACAACCAAACACAGTTGCTGAATGATGATGATTCGCACCCACCAGCACCACCAATGGCATTTTATAAGCATTAGTCTTGTATGTGGTATCAAACACCAAGACATCACCAAAGCAGGCATAATCTTGGCAACAGTTACCATCTGCCCAGAATAAATGCCCCAGTTCACTTTCTTCATTAACGGTGAATCTACAATAAAACCCAGGGTCACTTTCAGCTTTAGCACGCAAGTAGGCTAATGCACCTTCAGCATCACCATCACCATTACAAATTGTTGCCCTGGGATCAGCATCAACAAAATTATACAGATCTTTCGTTGTGTAACCGACATAACTATAACCACCAGTTTGGTTGACCATCAAATCCATCACATGGTTGGTTCTGATGCCTACGGCTTTCAAAGATTTGATTTGAGCCTTCTACTAAGCCAATTTGTTGATTCACCCACTACATTTCATGAGCAAGCAACTCATAGATTACTAAGATATTTAAAAACTACTCTGCCCGTGGCCTATTCTTTCCATCCAATTCTTCTCTTCTTCTCACTGCTTTCTCATATTATGATTGGGCTGGATGCCCTAATACTCGAAGATCAGTGACAGGTTTCTGTGTTTTCCTAGGTAATTCTCTCATCAGTTGGCGTTCCAAGAAGCAACATACAATCTCCAGGTCATCCGCTAAAGCAGAATACCGAGCCTTAGCAGATACATCTCAGGAACTCCAGTGGATGACAGCCCTGTTCAAGCAACTCCCAGTGCAACCTCAGCAGCCCTACACGATCTACTGTGACAGCCTTTCTGCAGTCAAGATGACACAGAATCCAGTTCAACATGAAAGAACAAAACATATCGAAGTCGATTGCCACTTCACCAGAGATCAAGTACTTGCTAACAAACTGAAAGTGCAGCACATTTCTACTACCTTACAACTTGCATATCCATTCACCAAGGCTCCGCCAGTTCACACTTTTGTTGACCTCATCTCCAAGCTCAACCTGAAATCAATTCACGTTTAGCTTGAAGGGGGGGTATTAGAGATATGATGTACCAAATTGTAATAAGGATAAATTTACATGGATAGATTGTAATTAGGATAGGTACTATAATGTAATTTGATTAGGTTAGTTAGTAGTCTCGCAACTATTTCCTGCTTCTTAGGAGAACAGAGTGTAAAACCAGCAACTCTAGCTGTATAATGTACGATTTTTCATTCTCTCAATCAAAACAAGAAGAATTAATCAGAAATCTGACAAGAGGTTAAATAATTTAAACGTGAGATTCGAACCATGATCATTAGTGAAGGGGCTAATGTTTTTCCAACCCTTAGGGATAGTTGTGCTATCTCTCTATATACATACATACATACATATATAATTTGTAACTTAATATTTAAAATCCAAATGATCAATTCTACAGTTCTACTCATTTAATGTTCTTCCTCTTCACTCTTTGTTTCTTCTTCTCTTTTACTCAAATGAGCTCTCATAACCTATTCAGGTAGGTCCAGTATAAATAGACTAATTTTCAATTGGGTTACTGTTTGAATTCTCTTATTTGTTCAATCTCACAATAATTAATTTTGTATTGATTTTTATTTCTTAATTAATTCTATCATTTTATTCTTGTAATAATGTAATGGCAACATATTTTTCTTTTTTTGAACACGGATTCCATAATTTATTCGCCAACCTTATATAGATTGTAAACGGTTTGGCTAAAGTCGAAGCTCCTGCATCAATGAGCCAGTTTCGATCCATAAATTTGTGCTAATATGAAAATTAACATTAAGAAATGATAAATGGGGTTTTGAAATTTGAAATTATGCAATTATATATTATTACTTAATATTTAATGTTAGGAGTATGTGCAATTGTGCATGAGGTATAGACACGTGATCAGGATGGTGCGGACACCTAACAAACTTTTTTCTCTACCCTGTTAATTGCTATTAACAGAGTTTCGTTTTTTTCGGATGGAAAACCTAATGAACGTTTTTCCTTCGTACGCTTCCGTGCGCAATGACGGCACCACCGTCAGGCAAGCCAATGGCCCCGGCAGGGAAACCCCCCAGATATAAGTGGAAGCCGGAGGCCAGCAATGGTTTCCTCAACCCCGGACGGGAAGAGCGATCGGGAATCAGTGCAGGCAAAGAAACGTGCACGGGCGCTAGACTTGAATCGAGAAGGGGTAGGGTTGGAGGAAACATACAATGAGATGGAAACGGAGACATGGGTGGATACTAATGCCGAGAAACAAACCCCCTCGCCATGGAAAGGCGCGGCGGAGAAGTTGTTTAAGAGCGCCAAGATGGATGCAGAAGGGTGGTACGTAGCGGAGTCAGATTCGGAGGATGTGGCGGCTTATGAAAAAGAGGAGGATGACGAGATTATGGATTGGAGGAGGAATATGACCCTCGGTGCCCCCCGGTTTTATTTACTGCGGCGGAGAAGACACGGTGGCGACGGGAGTAGCGATCAGCCTTAGTTGTGAAGGGTTTGGGCCGTCGAATCTCTTATCCGCCACTGGCTCGAAGACTGAACTACCTATGGGCGCGGAATGGTGATATTCAGATATCGGATATGAAGAACGGATGCTATCTCGTGAGGTTTCGTGATCAGCGAGTTTATGACCTTGCCTCCACAAGTGGACCATGGTTGTTGGGGGATATATATTTAGCAGTCCATCGCTGGTTCAAGGGTTTTAATCCCTGGAAGTCGGAGATTAAATCAACCATAGTCTGGGTCCAGCTACCAGAGCTTCCCATTTAATTTGTTAATGTCGAAGCGGTGATGAGGATCGGGGGTCTCATTGGGACACCAATTAAGGTTGATCATGCTATAGAGTTAGGAGCAAGAGCAAAGTTTGCCCGGGTTTGCGTAGAAGTGAACCTAACCAAACGGCTCTTGTCCCAGTACAAGGTGGAAGGGATTACGTATCTAATTCAGTACGAGGGATTGGATAACACATGTGGGGAGTGTGGCATGTATGGGAAATCGACTGCTAAGTGTACATGTCAGATCATATGACCTCGGATATTAATGCGGAAGAGTGTGAGCAGGTCCCGGAGACCCAGCAGCCCGATCCCACGAATGGTAGAATCTATAGGGAGTGGATGTCGGTGATGCGACGTAACAGGAGGCAACAACGGAGATCTGACAATGGAAGTGGACATAATGCAATTCATGTGAAGAATGAGGTTCATGCTTTACATGAGGAAATGCAGGAGGAGGTGATAGCTATGCATGCAACGTCAGAAGAGGGAGGGGAGAAAGAGGCTGGCAAAGGTAATGGGATGGCGAATGGGAAGGAGGGGGACAAAGTAGGTAAAAAATTGGGGAAGTCACATGCCACGAAGGAGAAGGAGATGCTAAAACAGAAGGGAGGAGAAAGGCAGAAGGTCGATGATGGTCTAAAGAATGGTAGGTCCGAGGGGAAGAAAGGGGGGAAACAACCGGCCGAAGTGGTGACAGGAGTGAGTCCGGGTGGAGGGGCGAATGCTGGGAGAGATAAGGACCGAATAAGCAAAAGGAGGGTGGCAGAGGGTCTAAAAGTGCCCAATCTGAACCGAGTAAACAATAAGGAGTACACGGAGCAATACTCATACCCGTCAAATAAAAAAATGGAAAAGGTGCGGGGAACCTATCCCCTTCGGGTCATAAATGAGAATTCTGAGCTATAACTGTCACGGATTGGGGAGTAAGCGGGCAGTTAGAGCGTTGAAGTCGCTATTGCGACAAACCTCCCCGTTAGTAGTGTTTTATAATGGAAACTAAGAAGACCGAGGATGAGAATGAAGAGACTCGCAAGGCGCTGGGGTTTAAGGATGGGACGAGTTGGCCAACAGACACTTCTGTTGGGGGTCCTGCTGGAGGCTTAAGCATTTGGTGGACCGAGGAAGTTAATTTGACTGTTATGACGAAATCTTTGAATCATATTGATACAAAGATAGAAGATGAGGGAGGTATATGGAGGTTTACTGGCATTTATAGCTGGTCAGAAGGAGAGGATAAGCACAAAACCTGGGAGATGCTTCGGTACTTAGCAGCTCAGTGGTCTGGACCCTAGCTTTATGGGGGCGAATTCAACCAGATCTTATCGAGTGTAGAAAAGAGAGGTGGGAGGTCTTCTGCGGATGCGGCCATGCTTGACTTTCATGAATGCCTTATTGACTCGGGCTTGAGGGACTTGGGCTTTAAGGGATATGAATTCACATAGGAAAATAGAAGAAGAGCGGGTGATTATATTAAGGAAAGACTGGATAGGTTTATGGGGTCTGATTCTTGACTTGATCAACATCCTAATGTTTGTGTTAGACATTTGGATAGATCTAGATCGGACCACAGACCAATTGTCTGTGATACTTGTGGGGATGAGGATGTAGAACCTCAGTGGGGATGGAGTTTTCGATTTGAGCCATTTTGGGCAAAGCATGAGGACTGTCAGAGAGTGGTGGCGGAAACCTGGGAGGTGCAGGGGTCGAGGAGCACTTTGGGAAAGATCGAAGCCTGCAGGTACTCGCTGGAGTAGTGGAGCAAAGTTACCTTCCCAAGGTTTGGCCGACATAGATAAAAAAAATCCAACGAGCCATGAAAGCTCTAGAGCGGATCCATGTATCCGAAACAGTTCTCGCACAAAGAAGGCAGTTGGAGGCGGAGTTAGAAGATCTAGAAGATAATAAGGAAAACTACTAGAAGCAAAGGTCCAAAGCGGACTGGCTTGATGGCGAGGGTAAAAACACTAATTTTTTCCACCGAAAAGCTTCTGCAAGGCGGAGGAGGAACACGATTCGGAAAACTGAAAGAGGATGATGGTCGCTGGTTCATGGGGCAGGAAGGAACCTCTGAGTGTCTATTTAACTATTTTGTGAAATTATTCACTGCAGGTGTTTTCCCGGATGTGACCCCAGTCACTGATTCCGTGCAAAGATCGATCACCGATGGTGACAATGCTAGACTGATGCGACCGGTGGAAAGGGAGGAAGTGGTTACTGCTCTGAAACAGATGGGTCCAAGAAAGGCACCGGGAGCTGATGGTATGCCGGTAATGTTCTTCCGTAAATACTGGGGAATAGTGGGTGATTAAGTGGTTTAGACTATGGCAGGGGTGATTGAACGTGGGGAGATGCCGGATCAACTCAACCATACTCTGATTGATCTGATTCCTAAAACTAAGAAGCCGATGAGCCCTAAGGAATTCAGACCGATCAGTCTTGGTGGCCAAAGTTCTCGCAAATCGCTTAAAGGGGCTACTTGATAAAGTAATCTCGCCGGAGCAGAGTGCTTTTGTTCCTGGCAGATACATAACTGATAACGTCATGGCAGCTTTTGAGTAATTCCACTCAATGAAGAAGAAACAGAAAGGTCGCAATGGTGTGATGGCGGCGAAGATCGATATGGCCAAAGCTTACGATAGAGTGGAATGGCGGTTTTTAGCGGGGTTATACGACGAATGGGTTTTGGAGAGCGATGGATCTCGCTCATCATGCTTTGTGTCTACAGTGACATACTCAGTGCTGGTGAACGGTAATCAGTCGCAGGTTATTGTTCCAGGACGGGGGCTGCGTCAAGGGGATCCTCTTTCTCCATACTTGTTTCTCATCTGTGCTGAAGGCCTTTCCTCTTATACGGCGTTGGCGGTGACAGAGGAGAGGATGCGTGGGGTGCAACCGGCTCAAGGGGCTCAGGTGGTATCTCATCTGTTTTTTGCTGACGACAGTATCTTTTTTGCCAGAGCTACAACTCAGGGAAGTATGGAATTAAAGAAGATACTTCAAGATTACGAAAAGGAGTCCGGTCAGATGGTGAACTTTGATAAGTAAGAGGTTTCCTTCGGCCCAAATGTTACAATCCACCGGAGCTTGGAGGTAGGTGGTATTTTGGGGATGAAGAGAGTAGATAAGCATAACAAGTACCTAGGACTGGCAACAGAAGCAGGGAGGTCGAAGAAGTTGCTGTTCCAGGATTTAAAAGATCGGCTCAGGAAGAAACTGAAGGGATGGAAAGAGAAGACACTATCTGCGGCAGCTCGTGAGGTACTGATTAAGTCCATGGCTCAATCACAGTTCACTTACGCGATGTCAGTGTTTAGGATCCCGGATGGGATTATAGATGAAGCCCATAGCTTGATCATGAACTTTTGGTGGGGTCAGCGTGGCGAAGAGAGGCGATCACATGGTTTAAGAAGGGAGGAACTCGTAAGTCCGAAGGAGGACGGAGGCTTGGGGTACAGGACTTGAGGGGTTTCAATGCTGCCCTCTTAGCTAAGCAGTTATGGAACCTGGTTCAGCGACCAGAGTCGCTCATTGCTCGCATTTTCAAAGCTAAGTATCATAAGAAGTCATCGATTCTTAATGCTCATGTGGGATATAGGCCGAGCTTTGTTTGGCGCAGTCTAATGAGTGCTCAGGAGCTTTGTTTGGCGTATCGACACGGGCACTGAAGTGAGTATGGGGGGATCGGTGGATCCCAACCCTGCCTGGACAGTTCGTCCCTTCAGCGCCAGTTGGGTTGGCAGCTGATGCCCGGGTACGCGAGTTGGTGAGTTTAGAAGAGGAAGCTTGGGACTTAATGGTTCTCGAGAGCTGTTTTACTAAGGATACTGTTGAGGCTATTTTGCAGATCCCATTGCGAGGTAATGGCGAAATTGATACCTTAACCTGGCATAGTAGTCGGGATGGGAGTTACTCGGTAAAGGAAGGGTATCGTGAATGGTTAAAAGGTTTCAAGTTCCAACATGGGGTGCACGAAGTTGGCAAAGCTCGGATTTGGAAGGCAGTTTGGGGAATGCAGGTCTCGCCAAAAGTTAAGCAATTCATGTGGAAATTCATGAGGGAGGTCTTACCTGTTGGAGTTTTTGTCAGCCACCGGAATCCAAGATGGGGAGATCGATGCCCCTTTGCGATCAACAAGAAACCCAGGTCCACCGTTTTCATGCTTGTGAATGGGGGTCGAGAATTTGGAGAAAGACTGAAATGGCGAGCTGTTTTGAGCTGTGTGATGGAGTCTCTTGCTATGAATGGGTGAAGTCGGTGGTTGAACTGGGTGATGAGGATGGTCTCGAAAATTGGTGCATGCTATTATGGTTTCTCTGGAAGGAAAGAAACGCTCACATGTTTAATGGAGCAAAAATCGCCGAAGAGGAGATACCTATGAGAGCAAAGTACCTGTTATCGGACTATAAACAGCACCAAAAGAAGGTTGAAGAACCCCCTAGGGTGGCTCCAAGGCGACAATGGCAACGACCGGCGTTGGGAAAAATCTCGATGTGCAGCGACGCGGGTATTCTACCTGGCGGGGGGCTGGTTTGGGAGTGGTGTTCCGAGATGAGGGTGGAAACTTCCTGCTCGCGGCGGCTAAGAAGATTAAGGGGTCTTTGGAGGTGGAGATGGCGGAGGCCTTAGCGGAGGAGATGGGGCTCAGCTGGCTCACCAGTTTAGTTTCATGGATATTGAGATGGAGATGGATTGCTTCACGGTGGTTCACAGATTACAAAACCCGAATGCAACTAAGGATGAAGTAGCGGTGGTTTGCAGGAATACCCGTCGACAGCTGGTGATGATGGGCTGAAAGCCATTAGGCACATAAGCAGAGATGCTAATAAAGCTGCACATCTTATGGCGCATGCAGAGACTAGATGGAATGAGCCGGTTATTTAGGTAGAGAGACCTCCAGTTTATTTAGTTGATCAGCTACAGCTGGATAATGTAACCGTGGTGACTGATCAATAAAAGCTCATACAGAATTCAGTCAAAAAATAGACACGTGATCAGCGGCACAGGAATAAGAGTTGAACATAAACCAGGAATAGTACTAATTGCGCCACATTCGAAATATAGAATGAGAAAAACATGACCGAAATATGAAGCATCCATTCTGCAATTGTCAACTATTTCTAGATTCATTTGATTGAGCTTCTATTTAGAAGAACGTTGTTTTGAGCAAACTGAAACCAGACGTTTTTACTATATAAGTAGTGTACTAGCTAGCTAGTGTTCAAACTGGAATTCAAATCAAGAAGACAACACCTC